CAAAGCCAGACAAGGCCAATACAAAGAAGGAAAACTACAGACCAATATCCCTGATGAACACAGATGCAAAAATCCTCAACAAAATATTGGCAAACCGAATACAGCAATACATTAAAAAGATCATACACCATGATCAAGTGGGATTTATACCAGGGACACAAGGATGGTTCAACATCCGCAAATAAATGTGATACACCACATTAACAAAACAAGGAATAAAAACCATATGATCATCTCAATAGATGCAGAGAAGGCATTTGACAAGATCCAACATCCATTTATGATAAAAACTCTCAACAAATTGGGTATAGAAGGAAAGTACCTTAACATGATAAAGCCCACTCTCGCCACTCTTATTCAACATGAGTACTGGAGGTTCTGGCCAGAGCAATTAGGCAAGAAAAAGGAATAAATAGGCAACAAAGAAGTGAAACTCTTGCTATTTGCAGATGACGTGATATTATACATAGAAAACCCTAAAGAATCCATTGGAAAACTATTGGAAATAATCAACAACTACAGCAAAGTTGCAGGGTACAAAATCAACATATACAGAAATCAGTTGCATTTCTATATGCCAACAACAAACTAACAGAAAGAGAACTCAAGAAGACAATCCCATTTACAACTGCAACAAAAGAATAAAATATCTAGGAATAAATTTAACCAAGGAAGTGAAAGACCTATAAAATGAAAACTATAAGACACTATTGAGTGAAATCAATGATGACATAAAGAAATGGAAAAATATGCCATGCACATGAACTGGAAGAATAAACATAGTTAAAATGTCCATAACACCCAAAGCAATCTGCAGATTCAATGCAATCCCAATCAGAATCCCAAGGATACTCTTCACAGAAATAGAACAAAAAATACTAAAATTCATATGGGGCAACAAAAGACCCCAAATAGCTAAAGCAATCCTGAGAAAAAAGAACAAGGCTGGAGGGGCCGGCCCCATGGCTTAGCGGTTAAGTGAGCGCGCTCCGCTGCTGGCGGCCCCGGTTTGGATCCTGGGCGCGCACCGATGCACTGCTTCTCCCGCCGTGCTGAGGCCGCGTCCCACGTACAGCAACTAGAAGGATGTGCAACTATGACATACAACTATCTACAGAGGCTTTGGGGGGGAAAAATAAATAAATAAAAATCTTTAAAAAAAAAAAAAAGAAGAACAAGGCTGGAGGCATCACAATCCTTGACTTCAAAACATACTACAGGGCCGGCCCCGTGGCTTAGCGGTTGAGTGTGCGCACTCTGCTGCTGGCGGCCCGGGTTCGGATTCCAGGCGCGCACCGATGCGCCACTTCTCTGGCCATGCTGAGGCCGCGTCCCACATGCAGCAACTGGAAAGATGTGCAACTATGACATATGACTATCTGCCGGGGCTTTGGGGGAAAAATAAATAAATAAAATTATAAAAAAAAAAAAAAACCATACTACAAAGTGATAGTAATCACAACAGCATGGTACTGGTACAAAAACAAACACACAGATCAATGGAACAGAATTGAAAGCAGAAATAAAACCTCACATCTACGGGCAGCTAATCTTCAACAAAGCACCTAAGAACATACAATGGAGAAAGGAAAGTCTCTTCAATAAACGGTGCTGGGAAAACTGGACAGCCACTTGCAAAACAATGAAAGTAGACCATCTTCTTTCGCTGTACACAAAAGTTAACTCAAAATGGATCAAAGACCTGAAGGTGAGACCTGAAATTATAAAACTCCTGGAGGAAAATATAGGTAGTACACTACTCATTATCAGCCATAAAGGGATCTTTTTGAATTCCATGTCTACTCAGACAAGGGAAACAAAAGAAAAAATAAACAAGTGGGACTTCATCAGATTAAAGAGCTTCTACAAGGCAAATGAAACCAAGATCAAAATGAATAGGCAACTCACCAGCTGGGAAAAAATATTTGCAAACCATATATCCGACAAGGGACTAATCTCCATAATGTATAAAGAACTCACACAACTGAACAACAAAAAAACAAACAACCCGATCAAAAAATGGGCAGAGCAAATGAACAGACATTTCTCTCCATAGAAGATATACAGATGGCCAATAGGCACATGAAAAGATGTTCAACGTCACTAATCATCAGGGAAACGCAAATCAAAACCACACTAACATATTATCTTACACCTGTTAGAATGGCTATAATCCCCAAGACAAAAAACAACAAATGCTGGAGAGGCTGCGGAGAAACGGGAATTCTGATTCACTGCTGGTGGGAATGCTAACTGGTGCAGCCTTTATGGAAATCAGTATGGAGATTCCTCAAAAAATTAAAAATAGAAATACCTTATGATCCAGCTATCCCACATCTGGGTCTCTATCCAATGAAGCCGAAATCAACAATCCAAAGAGGCTTATGCACCCCTATGTTCATTGCAGCATTATTCACTATAGCCAAGAAGTGAAAGCAACCCAAGTGTCCCTCGACTGATAAAGGGATAAAGAAGATGTGGTATAGATACACAATGGAATACAACTCAGCCATAAAAAAAGATAAAATTGTCCCATTTGCAACAACATGGATGGACCTGGAGGGTATTATGTTAAGCGAAATAAGCCAGAAAGAGAAAGACAAACACCATATGATTTCACTCATAAGTGGAAAATAAACCAACACGCTGACAGAGAGAATTGTTTGGTGGTTACTAGGGGCAAGGGGGTTGGACACAGGGGTAAGGGGATGCATTTATATAGTGACTGACAAACAATAACGTACAACAAAAATTTCACAATAAAGAAAAAAAAATCTGCTTTTCTTTCTCCCTGAAATTCTAGTTTCTATTGTGAGCAGATCATAGCCGTCCCTCATAGGATAAAGGCACTTTACCACTTTGATCCTCAGTGGGAAGGGCAGATACACAATCAAAGACTTTTCAGAGCTAGAAGAACCTTCCAGATCATCTAGTGTAGACCAGAGGTCAGCAAACTTTCTCTGTAAAGGGCCAGGTAATAAATGTTGGCTTTGTGGGCCTTAGAGTCTGCTGAACTCAGCTCTGCAGCTGTAGCACAAAAGCAGAGAACATATGAACCAATGAGTGCAGCCACGTACCAATAAAACTTTATCTACAACAAGCAGGCTATGGGCCGTAGCTTGCTGATCCCTGCTCTAAATCTCTAGTTGTACAGAAAACAGACCCAGAGACAGAAAATATTTATTCAGGAACTACTATTCTGGGACTCTGCTAGCTGTTTTCGTTACTGTAGGTGCTGCTGCAAAGCACCCTCAATTCATGGTAGGGACGGGTCCCCTTCTTTATTTGCAAATCTGTGAGATTAAACTGACACAGAGTCCAGAGACCAGGTCTTGTAAGCACTAGTTTGGATCCTAGCATTGTAGGTGCAATGGTCTAGAAGCATCCTCAACTTAGAAAGAGGATGGATATCAAAGCATACATAGAATTACTTAATTTTAAAAACAGAGTAGAAGGCAGGAAAACACTACACAGCTAGCCCCACCAGTGATGAATGAGTGTGTCTTTATCTGTAAGGACAACGATTCAGTTTGCTGCTGCCCTCCTCAGGAGCCACAGCAAGGAGACAGCATAAAGGTGAGGAGGAAAACCAAAGACAGGAGCTGCGGAAGGTGGGGAGCCTGACACCACAGCAGCCTCAGCTTTCTCAACGGCCTGCACCAAGTGCTCACAAGGAAACGAATCTGCAAGCATTTAACAGGCAGGCTATTCGCAATGTGGTAAGTTAGAGAAAATATACGCTAGTGATATTCTCCAAATCGTTCACACACCAGGACACTGGTCTGTTCAGCCAAAACGTTACTGCAGGTTTCAGGGCCCCATCTAGCTCAGAGGAAGACCAGAGGCAGGACTGCTTCTTGAATGATGCACACTGGTCATCACCGCAGACACCCTGGCCAGTGCTGGACGTTCAAGACGTAACAGGATGGCTGCAGTCCTGTAGCGAGAACATCCGCCCAAGGGGGCTATTACGATGCCCTCCCTGCGGGGTGTGGAGGCCTTCACGGCACATGACACAAAGGATGCACCAGCCCCCAGCCCCCACGTCCCTGCCTCCCCAGCCGTCCCCCTCTCATCAGATCACTCTCAGGAAAAGCTTCAGGACTTGGCTGGGTGAGAGGAAGGAGTCAAGCTTAGACGCATCCAGTGTGGACTCACGCCAGGGGCACGTGGCACAGGGCCCCAGAACACTTGCATGTTTCTTATTCTACCTTTAAAATGCATGCAAAATTCATGATTCTAGCCACAACAATGTTTTATGAAAGTACTATGCAGGGCCAGCCCCATGGCTTAGCGGTAAGTGAGCGCGCTCCGCTGCTGGCGGCCCGGGTTCGGATCCCGGGTGCGCACCGACGCACTACTTCTCTGGCCATGGTGAGGCCGTGTCCCACTTACAGCAACTAGAAGGACGTGCAGCTATGACATACAACTATCTACTGGGGCTTTGGGGGAAAAATAAATAAATAAATTTAAAAAAATTATAAAACTACATATGCTTTAAAAAAAAAAAAAAAAAGAAAGTACTATGCAAATAAAACTGACGCCTCAGGGAAATGGGTCATGTTTATCCAGGGTTTTATCTACTAGGTAACACTATTAAGGACCCTAAATTTAGTCCCTAGAAACAACTGGGGCAAAGAAACACGGTGGGCTGGCAGATTGGCCCATCTTTCTTTCCATGACCTACATTAAACTGCTGGGGAATCCCTTAACTGAAGGCTTCTCCACTCCAATATTTTAGATGTAAAGAAGAACAGTCTTTATACGGTTCGGGAAGAACCAGCCCTGCTCAGGCTTTAAGCCTCTGACTCAACATGTTATGGAGAATCTTGCTGACCTCACAAAGTAAGATCCCCCAAAGCAACCAGACTGGCCGGAGCCACCCCCTTTCCTGCTGGCTCCTGCGCCCCAGGACCCCAAAGCCTTTTGTGACAGGCCCCGCACTCACCCTCCATGCTAGGAGGTGGTGATTTCCGTACCTTCACCCCGTCCGCTGGACCGTGGCCGACTAAGCAGGGCCAGGCCTCAGCTCCATCCCTGAGCCGTACCCTCAGGGACACCCTGAGCCCTCAGCTCCGGCATAGCCACCAGTGCCCAGGGAGGCGCCCAGCATGGCTAAGCCTAGGTGAGCGCAGCCGCCCAAGCCTCACCTGAGGAGCAAGGTGCTGAGTTGGGAGAGAAGGTCTTGCTGTTGCGAAGGGCAGACTGGTTTCGAGGGCAGCGGGGGCTCCGGGAGCTGATGGTCACCACCTTCCCTGGGGGGGTGGTCGACTGTTCCTCCTGGGCAGGCCGCACTGAGGTCGTGGAGCTGGCACTCGCTTCTGGAGCCTGGGACAGAAATGGGCCGAAATAACAGCCTAACTCAGTATGTGAACAATGGTTCTGGAATGAGAGCCCTAGAACAGCAGGTACGGGAACTCCCCAGAGTTTGGACGGACAGCAAAGGGCTCAGAGATCACATTTCCATGACGGCAAAGGTCAGCATCCCCCAAGTCATTGGCAGAGTGCCAGTTTTAAAACCCACCTGTCAGGCGGGTACCCAGGGAAACAACTGCTCCCCTCCTGAAGCTTTCTGTCTCCACCACCCGCAGGCAGCATGGACAGGAGTGAAGGGAGGGACGTGTGAAGGCAGCAGATCTCCTGCCCGCTCAGGAAGTGCTCAAGCTGCAGGAAGGGGATGCTGAATGGCAAGTGACAGTAACTCATGGCCTAAGGTGACTGCAGCGGCCTCTTCTGATTGTGAGTCAGGAAGGAAATACAGGTCTACTTTCTAGAATTAAACACAATCACCGCTGAAGAGCCCTCTGCTGAGTCAAAACCCCAACCTCAGGGGTTTGGTAGGCTCCTGCCTGAGGCCGCTGCCTCAGCCAGCCAGGCTGCCGCGGAGTCCCAGGATCCCCGTCACAGAGACACTCCCTTCCATCCCATCTCTGTTGTCACCCTCCTGACTTCACCACCCACCCTCATCCTCATTCTCCCCCTGCACCCACTCCCAAGGCATGGGGCGACCTTCCCCATGAATTATGGAGCCTACTCCCCGAGCCTCTCCCTGTACCGCGAACACCATTTAGCCCCCATCCTGACCCACCTTCTCCTTCCCATGGGCCCCGCCTCTGTGTCCCTTCCTACTTAGTGTATTTAATCTCACTTTCCAAGCACCCAACTGAGCGCCCCGCCAGCCTTGTGCCAGGGCCCCGGCTCCCTGGGGCTCGGGCCGTCTGCTGCACCTGCTTGTCAGCACGCTACCCGCTGCAGCAGGAGGGAAACCACAGGACCGGGCCGTCCATCTCTAAATCAAGGTCCCCATTCTCAGCTTGGGCCTCTGGCCAGTGTTTCTCACACCTGAGCAGCCTCAGAATCACCTGGGGGAGGGGAGAACGTCAAAACACAGTCTGCTGGGCCCTAAGAACCTGCACCTCCGACAAGTTCCCAGGTGACGCTAAGCCTTCTGGCCAGGGACCCCACTTTGGGAACCATAGCTCTGAGCACCCTGCTTTTCATTCTCTGCAATGATATGTCTAACCTGTTCCACTCTCCTCTTCCAGCTGAGGCCAGGGCCAGGACCCCAGCCATGTTCCAGAACTCCCGCATTCTGTGTTGCCTCCAGCCTTCTCAGGAGCCAGCCTAGCTTGGCCTCCTTCCCTAGGGTCCTGGACACGCTCATGTGTCTCCATAGTCTCCTCTCCTGACCCCTCCAAAAGCCAAACTTGAATAAGCTTTTTCAACTCACCATCTCTGTCTGGTCACCCCAATATTGCCTAGGCCTGCCCGTGGGTCACCTCCACACCGCTAAATCCAAAGGCCACCATTCACCCTCAGGCCTCGCCTTACTGGCCTTGGCAGCCTTCGGCCAGCTCCCAACCACCCCCGCGAGAGCCATCCCTCTCACGTGGCATTTGTTCACTTCACTGTGTGCTCTACTGAACGCTCTCCCAGGCAAGCCCTGCACAGAGACGCAGCCGGCAGCGCAACAGAGGAGCCTATGGGAGAGGCACGCCGGGAAACTGAGGCAGAAGAACAAGCTCACAGACTGAGCGCTGTCCGCCCAGAGAGAGCAGGAGGTGTGGTGCGTCTCCCAGCAGTGATGTGGGAGCACCTGGCGCTCATTCTGAACGTGAATCAGCACTGATGGATGGGTCCACAGTGAGCCCGCAGTCCTGCCCTCCCCCACCGAGCCCCACTCCTTTGAGGCCACCACGTTCAGCTCCCTCAGCTTTTCCTCCTGGAACCCGTGAACCTCCACAATTCTAAACACTGCGCACGTGCTATTTTGGGATCCACCGGCCCTAGGACCTTGATCTCTTGTGCCCAGGAGAGCCTATTAGACCTTCCTGTCAGCGGCACTTTTTGCCCCGTCTACAGGATCCTCTAACCAGCCTCCCAGGTGCGCGTCACAGGCCACAGCCCAGGCCTACCTGGCGTGGCCTCCCTCTCCCTGGGCGACTGCAGCCACTCCCAGGGCTCAGGGACCACCCACACTCCACGGAGCCTCCTGAGGAGCCCCACACCACTTCAACTAGCCACCTCTTGGAGGGCTGCCCATGGTCTCCCAGGCACAGCCCACAGCCCCGGCCTCCCATCTGTCCCCTCCCACCTCTACTCCCTCCATCGAGGCTATGTGCCACCACCATCCTCCCAGGACAGCCTTTCTTTTTTTTTTTTTTTTTTTTTTTAAAGATTTTATTTATTTTATTTTTTCCCCCCAAAGCCCCAGTTGATAGTTGTATGTCGTAGCTGCACATCCTTCTAGTTGCTGTATGCGGGACTCGGCCTCAGGATGAACGGAGAAGTGGTGCCTCGATGCGCACCCGGGATCCGAACCCGGGCCACCAGCATCGCAGCGCGCGCACTTAACCACCAAGCCACAGGGCCGGCCCTGGACAGCCTTTCTAAACTGCACACTCAACCCTGTCATTCCCTCTATTGAAACCTGCAACGCTCCTGACACTTAGATAAAGCCCCATCCCAGCTCGGCTCCTGGTCGTGTCTGCAGCCTCCCCTCTGTGCACCCTGTCACCTCGGCCTGCATGCTCTGGGCTCAGCAGAATCACTGGAGCCCAGCAAGGCCCAACAGGTATGGCCTATCAGCTGTCGTCTTTGGAGCCCTGTATGGGCCCCAGAGGCCAGAGTCCTCCCCTGGCAGGGAAGAAAAGCCCTGATCAAGTGCTCCGTACAGCCCGGTTTGAGGGAACGAAACATGGTCTGTGAAGAACCTCTGCCTCACCGGGCATCTGGGTCCCTTCCTCCTTCCCCTCCCCGAGGAGCCTGGCCACCTGCCATGGGGCCGGGTTTCTCCTCTCTGGACCCTAGCTGCCCAGCTGAGAGCTCTCCGGCTGGGCCTGGTTGCCCCCGGGTGCCAGCAGGATCATGCCGCAACCCACACTTACCAGTCTGGGGTTGACTTCAGTGGAGATGAGCTTTAGGAGGCAGCTGAGGAGGCGCTGCTTGTGGAAGGCGGTGGGTGGGGAGCCAGTGCGGGGGCCCTGGGCCTGCCCGCCAGGGGCCTGGCCCTCTGGGCCCAGCACCGCCAGCCAGTCATATTCCAACTGCAGCTTGTTCGGCTTGCCCATCATGAGGTAGACTTCAGCCAGCGTAAGGCTTTCGGAGGTCTGTAGGTTCCAGCCCTCCTCGCGGAGCTGCTGGGCCAGCCGGCTGGCGGGGACATCCTTCGGAGGCCTGGTGGCAGGCTGTCCGTGAGGCAGCGGGGGGTCCAAGGAGCTTGCCTTCTCCTGGGGCTCCTCTGCAGGTGCATCTGCCGAGTCTTTAGTGCAAACATCTGGCTGGAGCCGGGGGCTGGGCTGAGGCTCTGGACCAGGTGGGGCACGGACGGGGGACGGTGCCCTGGCCCGGGCGAGGTCAGCCGTGTCCACATTGCTGGGGATACGAGTCTCTGGGGAGGCGCGTCCCGAGGGCCGCAAGTCTGCGCAGCGGCACTGCTCGGGGATGATGAGGTCCTGACAGGACTTCATGTAGCGGGGGAAAGGGTCCAGGAGGGAGAGCTCATCCTCCAGCTCTGGGAGCTGGCCACAGGCACATGTCATGGCTCCGGGCTCTCGTGTAGGGCCGTCGCCTCCCTCTGCAGGAGTGACCACAGGGGTCTTCTCAAGCCGTCCCCCAGTGTCCTGGAGCCCAGAGGGAAGCCTGTCAGGAGCATCCAAGCTGCTGAGGCTCGGGGCAGCCCCTTCCCCAGGGGCACTTTCGGGGGAACTCTCTCCGGAGCTCTGCGAAGCATCAGTGGAGGGAGGGGGCCGTCCTGCACCCTTGCCCTCAGCGCCACCCCGCGGGCACTTCACCTGGCCCCTGGCCGTGCCCTGCCCGCTCTGGATGCCCAAGATCTGGGCTGGAGGCAGTGTGTGGGTGTCCTTGGCGCTCTGCTTGCACCGGCCACCCTCCTGCCAGTGCACTGTGCAGAAGGCCTTGGAGTGCACCACACGGGCCACTCCCGGCAGCGGCGTCAAAGTGCAGTTCTCTCCCGGGAACAGATGAAGCGCCACCTTCTCCTGCAATGGCTCTGCGAATGAGTCCTGGAGCTGCCGCTCCTCGAGCGTCTTCCGCTGAGCGCACTGTCAAGGAACCACCTGCACAAGCCCCCTGGGCACCACTGAGCCCTGGGGAAAGTACGACCCACGCACTTCCTTCTCCAGGAACTTCACACCTGACACACACCCTTCTAGCTGGGGACTGGGCAGGGCTGGGAGCTAGGCAAGGACAGGAAGAAGTCTGAGGCTGTCCTCGCTCATTTTGCTCAACCTGCTGGCTGGGATGCTTCGGCCACAGCCCATGGGCCAGGCAGCGGCCACCGACAGCGCAGAGGGCTGCTGCAACAGAGTTCTAACACTGCAAGAAGGTCAGAAAGGGGCTTGTACCCAAAAGCCAGAGGACAAAGGGCTGTGGGTTTTAGCTCCAGTTCTACACCATCTCCCGGCACAGCTGCTGTGCCCCACGGGGCCCCACCGCAATCCCAGGACTGAGAAGCGACAGCCCACTCTCAGGCAGCAAGCGCTGCAGGGTTTGGGGAGGTTGCTTTAGCAGGAAAAAGATACAATGCGCACTTCATGGAGTGCCCACTTCTGCTTCAAGAATTCGATGAGGCTGGAGACCTTTCGATGGAGCTCCACAATCATCCTACAGAGAAACAAGACAGGAAAAGGGAGGCTGTTACATGGGGAGAGAATCTTCTGAAGAGCCCCCAGAGGCTGCAGGCAGCAAGACGATCTCAGAAGAGGCACCAAAGGAGGGGCCAGAGCCACGATGTCTCAGGAAGGCCACTGACTCCTTCTCTTGAAAATTAACCTTTTTAATTGAGATAAATGGAGACTCACAAGAAGAAGCTGCAAGAAAAAATAGTGAGACCCCATGTACCCTTTACAGCACAAGATCTCAACCAGGATATGGACCTTGGTACAACCCACTATCCTGTTCTATTATCTCCTTTTGGGTTCCAGAAGGGTGGGTCTGGCCAGTCTTAATTAATCCCAAGAACATAAAAATACATATGGAAGGAATGAAGTCCTGACACTGTGCTACGACATGGATGAGTCCCCAAAACACCACGCTCAGTGAAGGAGCCAGGCAGAAAGGCCCACAGAGTGTACGACTCTGTGCGGTCAACGTCCAGAACAGGCAAACCCATAGACAGAAAGTCGACTGGTGGCTGCTGGGGGGAGGGAGTGATGAAAATGTTCTGAAACCAAATAGAGGTGATGGTTGGACAACACTGTGAAGGTACTCAATGTCCCTGTATCAGACAACTTAAAATGGCTAATGGTTAATTCTATGTTACGTGAATTTTATCTCAGTCTAAAAAAAAATGTGTAAATGGAAAATGGTGTTGTGTCCATAAATCAGACACAAATTCTCAGGGAGATGGTAAGAGAGGAACGGCAAAGGGTTTATGGGGGACAGATTCTGTAGCCATCAACCTGCTAACCACGACGTCCTTTCACAGCCCGCTCTCAGCCCGCAAGACCCTGGCCCAGGTGTGAAACTGTAGTTTGGTGCTTCCAGGCTCCCCAACGTCTGAGGACCCCGATGGCAGTGCATCACCCCACCCCACCCCACCCTCACGAGACATGAGAGCACTGGGCTGAAATCCGCCACTCACCAGTGGTTCCCTGACGGAACCCAAACACCACCCCTCCAGCCCTGTCCTTCTCAGGCCAGGCTACCTGAGCCTCGGGTTCTGGGCAAGGCTTTGCACTCGGGCCCAGGCATGGTTGTTCCGCGGCTGCAGCTCTACAGGGACTTTCAGGGGCAGACGCACTGGCTTCTGGTCCTCTTCGTCACTCAAGCCTGCAACAGGAAGGGGCCATGAGAGCCTGGCACATATGGACTGGGATGCAGAACACAAGGCACTAGGCCAGACAACTAACAAAACCAGAGAGGAGCTGAGGGCAAACAGCCTGTGAGTGAAAGCAAGGCTGGTGGAGAAGCCGGCAAGGATCCCACTCTACAGGAGGAACGCCAACCTGGCTGCTCGTGCATCTGCAAGGCCAGAGGCACACACCACACCATGAGAGGCCACAAGACTCACTCCTGACACCAGCCGACACTCTATGTTATGTCCCCTGAGCTAAACTTAATTTACAGAGGGGACATGTTGCTGTGACAAGCAGTTCTGAACCTGGGAGCTGCCCAGGGGATTCAGGAGGCTTGGACACAGAGCCACCGCGGCAGAAACATTTCCAGCTCAGCCTGTCCATCGCTAAATGGAGCAGAACAGAACGCCTTCCCTGACCACCCCCAGCCCACCTTTACATACCATCCGGGTCACAGAGCTTCTTCAGGGCTCGGCACATGGGTGCTTTGATCCGCAAGTTTCTCCCTTTGTAACGTACTGTGGTGGCCCTGGGAAGAGTTTTAAAGATGCACTGAGTCCTCTAAATGAACAGGCGCTCCCTGCTCAGCACAGTACTCAGGGCCAGCGCATCCGACACCCACACAGCTCAGAGCGGAGACAGGCCTGGCTGAGCGCCCACCCCAGTTTCCAGAGTTCGTACTCAGCCCCGCCAGGGGCCCCCACACCGCCCCATGGAGCTCCCAGGATGGCAGGCAGATGTGCATGACAGAGACAATGCTGTGACTCTGGCCATCCCACCACTTTCCCGACCACACCTCACACTGCAAAAGAAACACGCTCTGCCCTCCTGCGTGGCGACGGGCGTGGCACCAGCTGCTGTCCCATCCCCTGGAAGGCCCAGGGCATTGCAGCCCCTGTCAGATGTCAGATGGCATACCCTTCTCTCCTCCTCCTCCAGGACCCTGGAGAGCAGAAGCTCCCAACCCACCACTGGGCGACCGCCTCTGCATGTCAGCCACCCCCAGTCCCTCTGTAAACCACACGAGCGGGGCCAGGCGTATGGGGCACTCGTGGCCAACGGGCATGGGGGCCACGTTCTTGTGCTCCTCCAGCTGGCCTGCAGGCAGGCCCAGGCAGCAGGGCCTGCCCCAAATCTGTCTGTCACAGCTGCAGGGGACATTCCCTCTGAATACTGCTGTGACATCAATTTATATAATACTAGAATTATACAAAGAAGTACTATGCAACTAATGAAATGAATACAAAAGCTACAAAAAAAGTTCCTTCTAAAAAACACACTTGGAATGCTTTGGAGATATACTCAATAAAGGTAGCCTGTGTTAAAAAATGGCAGTAAAGTTAAGTGTGGGCAAGACAGTGTGAAAGACTAGGGTGACCTGGAAGGATCCTGTAGCCTGACTGCTGTGGGCCCCGGGGCTCTTGCTCCGCTTGAAAACCGGAAATTGCAAGTGATGCATTGTGGCCAGAGCTTCTGGGACAAAAACACCACGGAACTCTGAGGAGCAAACCCCAGGCAAAGAAAAGGCCTTGGCCAGCCACTCAACAGCTGGTGAACAAATACAGGTTTATGTTTTACAAAAGGTTCAAGGTCTGTGTATATTATTTTTATGACTGTTTTAGCCAACTTTCTTGACTGACTGACCAACCCTCAGCTGTGAGTACTTCAGGTGAGAGAACTGCTTCTGCACTTACCATTCAATTTCTCGGATACATTCAGTGAAAAAAGTTACAGAATGCCGTGATTCTGACGGTAGGAAAAAACATATATATTTACATCTGTATATATTCATATTTGTATCTGTACATTTATGCACATAAATTCCCTGAGAAAAAATTCAGAAGGATACATACAGCATTACTGTAAGTGGTTATTTTGGTAAAGAGGGTGGGCTGGGGTGGATGGGGCGGCTGGGGGTCTTCTTCTGTTTTATATACATTTGTATTGTTCGACACTTTTATAAATGCATTCATATATAACTTGTACAACTTTAAAAAGTGTTATTCTACAATAATATTGCCTAAAATCAGAGATCAGAAGGCAAGCAATGGTCTCAAATGGAATGGGAATGAGAGGGAGAGACCCTTTCACGACGACTCCCCATGCTGACTTACAGGAGCAGTCTCAAGTGCATGCATGTGATGGAGAAGCCAGCCGGCCTCTCGCAGCCCCAGACAGAAGAGTGCACCTCTACAACTTCCACCTCAGGAAACAAAGCTGCAAACCCCTCCTTCTTGGAAGGGAAACAGCTCTATTTCCACATTATAGTCTCAATTCTCTAAGCAGTGGATTTTACCATTGCCCCCAAAGCCTGTAGGACTTTAAGCGAGTGTTTATAACTCAAACAGGGAGGTCCCATGGGGGACAGGACAAACAGCTGGGTACAGTCAGTCAGAAAGCTCAAGGATTCCAGCACCAACTCATCCGGGGCAACTGCAATTCCTTCTATCCATCCATCCACCCTTCCATCCATCCACTCATCTGTCTATCCATCCATCCATCCATCCACCCACCCATCCAAGTACCAACTGAGCCCGTTCTGCACTGGCAATCAAACACAGGAGACCTCGGAGCAGAACTGAGATTTGGGGAGCCCAGCTAAAGAGGCAAGAAGACCCCAGGAAGTCATCTCCCCCCCCATTCTGTCAGGAGGGGTGATTCAGAGAGGATGAGAGTCTGCACAGAACAACTACATGCTCTACTGAGACCAAATGCTTGAGTCTTAAACCACCTCAACCCAGGGGAAGTACAGGCAGCAAAGTGCTACCGTGGATGCGCTGACAACACTGGGGCAGGCCGCAGAGGGGGCCAGGAGGAACATTTTAGAAGAGCAGTAATTAAGCATCGAGTCCATTCTTAACCCCCACAGTAACGGGCTCTAGGAACAGGTGGACGTTCTGCTCATCACCTTTGGTTCCATCTGCTGCAACAAAACACAACAGCAGCCAGCATGACCCAAAGAGCGGGTGGAGCCCCGTCATGTGGCACCTGTGTGTACAACCATCACATTTTCCGTTAAACTGCTATTTTGTGACTTCCTTTTTTTTTAAGTGAAATTGAGCAGCCCCTTTTTTTATGACTAGATAACCATTCTGAGATGACAATCCGTTTCCTTTTCTCTCCAGGGGAAGCTCTCTGAGGGGCCTGAGGCTGGAGCCTGAACAAGGTAGTGCTTGATGCTCAAGCTCGCAGGGAGAAAGCCACTCAGGCCTGGGCCCCCTGGACGTGGGCCCCCCTACACTACCCCCTGAAAGACAGGCTAGACCAGGGCTTCCCCAGGGCACAGGGGTTTAAGAGGTCCTGTCTGCAGAAGGAGCACCACTTGACCTCTGACGGAATGTAACAACACGGAGGGTTGTAGCTGAGCCACCACTGCATGTCACTTTGACAAAACAGGCAACCAAGTAATCCCTCCATGTACACTGGCGTCTGGCTTGCCTTTCTGATAAGAGATTTATTTTCTTCTCTGCAAAGTTACTTGATAAATCTAATAAGCACATGCTAAATTCTATGCTGCTAGGTCTGTGACCAATGTAATAAGATTTAATTTTAGAGCTTTTCTCAATTCATTTACTCCTTAATCTAATGCTACAATTTTATAACGAAAGGAGATTCACAGTTAATTGAAAAAGGTCTGCATGAGAACCATGGACCGGAAGTTAGTTAAATGCTCAATGCTTTTTGGTCTTAAATCAAGTTTTCCACAGACACCTTACTAATTTTCCCCCATCTCTGTTTCACCTTTACACGTTTTTTGCTTTGTTCTTAAAAACTGATGTCTGTTGGGGAAAGAATAGACATATAAATCAATGGAACAGAACTGAAAGTCCAGAAATAGACCCATTCAGTACAGCCAAGTGATCTCAGACAATGGTGCAAAAGCAGCTAATGGAGGAAGGAGGGTCCTTTCAACAGATGGGGCTGGAACAACTGGACACCCACAGGCCAAGAAAAGGAACCTTGGTGTAAACTTCACATCGTATACAAAAATTAATTCAAAGCAGAACATGGATTCAAATGTCAAACGATACAACTTCTAGAAGAAAACGTAAGAGAACATCTTTGTGACCTTGGGTTAAGCAAAGAGTTTTAGATAATGACACTAAAACTACAACCCATAAAAGAAAAACATGACAAATTGGACTTCATCAAAGCTAAAAACTTCTGCCCTGTGAAAGACACTACTAAAGAGAATGACAAGACAAGTCACAGACTGGGAGAAAATATTTGCAAACCACCTGTCTGATAAAAGACTTGTGTCTAGAATATATAAAGAACTCTCTAAACTCAATAATAAGAAAATGGGCACAAAGTTTGAATAGGCACTTCACCAGAGAAGATATACAGATGGTAAATAAGATACTCATCATCATTAGTCATCAGGGAAATGCAAATTAAAACCACAATGAGATATCACTTCACACCCACCAGGGTGGCTCAAAAAAACAAACAAACAAACTGAAAACCAAGTGTGGCGCATGTGGGGAGCAACAGGCAACCCCCTAGAAGCAGTCTGACAGCTCCTTATAAAGTAAGGCACATACTCACCATCTCCTCCTCCTGGGGATTTGCCCAGGTGAAATGAAACGGGGGTACGGGGACACTCCTCCGCAGGAAAAGGCATGAACTGTGGATCCATGCATGGATCTCTGGTGTACATTGCTGAGTGGAGGACGCCAACCTCAGAAAGTCACATACGGTTTAGATGACACTCTGGCAAAGGCAGAACTATAGGGGACGGAGAGCAGCTCAGGGGTTGCTGGGGCTGGGCATAGGGCAGGGGATGACTACAAAGGCACAGCACGAGGGAATCCAGAGGTGATGGAACCGTCTGCATCTTGATTGGGGTGGCGCACAACTCTATGCACTTGTTACAACTCAGAACTGCAAGTGAAAGAAGCTGGTCTGAAAAGGCTACCTGCTGTGGGATTCCAACTCAATGACCTTCTGGAAAAGGCAGCTATGGAGACAGTACAAGATCTGAGGTTGCCAGGGGTCAGGGGAGAGAGGGATGACTCGTGGGAGCAAGGGATTTCTGGGCAGTGACACTGTTCTTCAGGGTGTGTAATGGTGGACACGGGTTACTACGCATTCGTGAAAACCCACAGAATGTACACATCAAAAGTGAGCCCTAATTAACCACGGACTTTAGTTGATAACAATGCATCAGTATTGGTTCCTCAATTGCAACAAATGTACCATTTGATGCAAGATGTTCATGATGAGGAGAAAGTGTGCAGAGGAAGGGGGCACATGGGAAACCTCTGTAATCTCTACTCGATTCGCCTGTAAACCTAAAACAGCTCTAAAAGATAAAGTCTGTTAAAAAAAAAAAAAACACAAATCTCATAGAACTGTACACAAAAAAGGCCAAAAGCATACACATTAAAATATTAGAAATTTAAAAATGGATGTCAGGGCCGGCCCCGTGGCTTGGTGGTTAAGTGAGCGAGCTCCGATGCCGGTGGCCCGGGTTCGGGTCCCGGGCGCGCACCGAGGCACCACTTCTGTCTGTCCTGAGGCCGAGTC